TGGGTCAGGTTGAAGTTGGGAGAGGCAGAGATAAAGCTGAGGGAGAGATGCTAGATCTAACATTTTTGACTTTGTCCACAAAGAAAGACAATGTTTTTACAGTCTGCAACAGAGTGGATGGAGGCTGTAGGAGAGGGAGGAGAGACAATGCTGCTGATGGTGTTAAACAGCACCTTGGGGTTCCCTTTGCTCTGGGACGCCAGGTTGGAGAAATAGGCAACCCTCGCGTCTAACTGCATAGGTAATGGATGTCAGAGGATCCTTTAGATGCGCTCAGTTTTTCTGCATTGGCGCTTCAGGCTGCAAATTCTGTCGGTACGCCAGAGATCAGGTTCACTGCAGAAACTGATCTGGTTCTGACAGGACAGATGTAGTCCAGAATGGAGAGGCAGTGCTCATTAAACTGAGAAGTTAAGTAATCTGGGTCATCATCAGAAGAACAGGGTGGATCAAAAGCAGCAGAAAAATTGCTAGCTTTGCTCTCATTAAGAAAACAAGAACTACAGACGACGAGCAGGAGATGGGGACGCAGGAACTGACAAGTTAAAGAAAGTGCAATGGTGATTGGAAATATAAAGTCATCAGGACAAACACTCAGCATTTAGACCCAGGGTAAAAACAGTAAGTCCAGAGTGGTCCCCCTGGAACACAAAGCCAGACACATGCTGAGTAAAGCTGAAGAAGTCCATGAGGCTGGAGAAAGTCATGGCAAAATGGCCTGAGTCATCATCAACGTGAATGTTAAAATCACCAACAATCACCAGTCTGGACAGTTGCACAGTGCAGGATAAAATGTCATTAAACTCCTGAAGAAAAGAACTATTTGGACCAGGCGGACGATAAACAGTAAAATGGGTCCTTTCACCCAACTTTAATCAGCTGCAGTACAAAAGAAGCAAAGAGACCAGAGGTTGTAGAGCTACATGGAAGATGTTTTCTAAAAACAACAGCTAGGCCTCCACCTCGACCAAAACCCCAGGGCTGGCTAAGGAAAATATAACCACTCAGGCAGAGTTTAATCATTCCAGATTAATGAGATATTTGCTGCCAAACTAGTCAGAAACAGAAAATCCATGTTTTTAGAGAGAATTAGAATGACCTATTGTTAATGGAGTGAATATTTAATAGAGCAATGCAGAGTGAGGTGGAGGAATCAGAAACTACAGAAAAAGCTCAAGTTACGCCAGGAACACACCTGACGCAGAGGCGCGACAAAGCGCCGCGGAACAACACCGCACCCTTGTTAACCTACGCTCTCGGTCTCATCAGCTACGAAGCGCCACAAAGGCTAGCACCGTGCAGCGTTCGTTTCAGCGTGAGCTCTAATTTTTTCACGAGCCATGGATGAGCCGCATCAATTCTGGCAGTTAGTCAAACCAAAGCAGAAGAAGCAGGCCATTAAATTTAACAAAATAAAAGAAAACTTTCAAGATAAAACAGTGATTGATGGATATGATCATTTTGGTGTATCCAAACAGACTAGAAGGATTTAAAAAATTTGAATACAAACAAATACACAGCAGCAGGATCAGCACAGTTTCCGATATCAACAAACAGGGCAAACTGGTTACACACACACGTACGCACACACACACACACACACACGCACACACCCTGCGGAGAAACACTGCGTCTCCATAATTCTAAATGCAGTTTTTCCGCAAAAGATGAATTAAGGAAATGTGAATACAAACAAATAAGTTTAATTCAAAGGTAAAATAGTATTGTAAGAAAATGCTAGGTTATTTACTTAACCATTTAAAAAGGAACTGGTGTACAAAATAGCAGCAGGATCAGCGCAGATTCTGACAACAATAAGCGGGGTAAACTGGTTACTCACACACACACACACACACACACAGCCAGGGCATGAGGGTGGGGTCTTGGGGTTTGGAAAATAGTAGGCGTGAGCAGAAGCGCTTGTTGAAAATTCTCACCTGATGTGAAAAGGGGAGGAGTGTTTTACAAAATAAGTAAAACATATAATGTCGTGTTTGGAAAAATCCATCTTTTAGTCTTAGTTTTTCCCACACTCCAAACCACACCTAATAAGCCTACTACTCCCAACTCAAGTTTCTGATCTGGAGAAGGTTCTTGAATGAGAAGCGAAACAACTTCAAGGGAATTTCGTGAGGAGTTTCGTGAGCAATCCACTTCGCAGCGCTTCGCAGCTGGTGTGTTCCGGGCATTATTGGACGTAGGTTAGCATCAGCATTTGGTTCCGGGCCAGCACGCTGTGCACATACACAAATAATGAGGTAAATCCTCGTCTCGTCTTGGGTGATAGCTGACAAACGGAAAGACAAGTCTGGCGATCATAGATGGAAGCCGGGACACTACCAAAAAGGATTGCCAACAGAAGCTAGGCGGAAAGGAAAAGGTTAGAGGAAAGTTTGAAAAAGTGGCTAAACCAAGCACAGGCCATCTTTTTTCTGACCCAAAAGCGGGAAATCTACGTCGCACTGTCATGTGATATCTATGGACTCAACCATTTTTACTCACAACGGGGAAGGCTGTTATTGGTTTAGTATCCAGGAAACAGCAGAGAACGTCTCAGCTAGTAGAAGCCAACAGTTAGCATTAGCAGCTCCACCACACAGCAGAAATTCTCCAAGATTGTGTTATTTGTGGAGATGAAACATCAACGTTGCAGTGCAGACAGAGTCAGTAGATTTGTGTTCTTGTTTTCTAATCCAAGGTGAGATGTCCAAATATCAGGAAACAAGAGATCAAAACCTGTTTTCTTAAGCTCAGCTCTTAGCTGGCTCACTTCTAGCTCCTGAAACTGGTGTATCAGAGCCTTTCCCTCCCAGAATACAACTTACAAGGCATTAATTTTGACTGGAGACCACTGCTAATGTATTAAAATGTGAATAAAGTGGATCTTTAACAGGCACCCAACAAATCCCAACAGTTCACTGTTTTGGCTACATGTCTCAAGGCGTGAGTTTCTGTTTAACTGCCCAGGGACACAAGTCAAGGCTTTATGTGTTGGAAAGAATAAACCGGGGGCCTCCTCCTTATGTTCAAAGTTGGTTTTCATGTTTCACATGAAACATGAGGCTTATTTCAGCACTCTCTCAAACTACCTTTCTTCCATGTCAAAAATGAGTCCATTTTTGTCTTCAAATGAGTGACCGTTGTCATTGAGGTGTAGATGGACTTTTGAATCTTGACCTTAAGTGTTGTTTCTTCTGTGTTGTGCCATCCTTTTTTATAGCTGCTTTTTGCAATTCTCAGATGTTGAAGTCTGAGCATTGTGTTGGGGTGTTTTGTTCTTGGGGTGAACCCTTTTCTGAGAGTGTTACCAAGTTTAAAAGGCACTATAATGTCGTGTTTGGAAAAATCCGTCTTTTAGTCTTAGTTTTTCCCACACTCCAAACCACACCTATATAAGCCTACTACTCCCAACTCAAGTTTCTGATCTGGAGAAGCTTCTTGAATGAGAAGCGAAACAACTTCAAGGGAAACAAGGAAATTCGTTTCCACTTAAACCTTGAGGATTATCATGCCCTGGACGACTGAGAATGAAACAACCTGGAGGTTAGAAAAGGAGGACCTCATCAAGATCACTAACGACCTACTCATTGCTGCTGATTCTGGTTTAATCTCTATTCTTATTCTCCTCGATCTGAGTGCGGCCTTTGACACCATTTCTCATCCCATCCTCCTCAATAGACTCTCTTCCTTAGGCATCACTCACACACCCCTCCGCTGGTTTCAATCTTACCTTACTGGCCGCACTCAGTTCATCCAGTTAAAATCCTTTACCTCAGAACCCTCCCCAGTCAAGTCAGGTGTGCCCCAGGCTCTGTCCTGGGGCCCCTCCTCTTCATAGTATATCTCCTCCCTATCGGCAAAATCTTCCGCAAATTTAATATCCAGTTTCACTGCTTTGCAGATGACACCCAGCTCTACATTTCCAGTAAGCCCAACTCAACTCTCCCACCATCCTCCCTTACACTCTGCCTCTCTGAAATCAAATCATGGTTCACCTCTAATTTCCTCAAACTCAATGGCAATAAAACTGAACTTCTTCTAGTTGGCACTAACTCCACCCTCTCAACATCTGACAGCTTTTCTTTAACTATTGGCAGCGCCATAGTCTCCCCCTCACCTCACGTCAAGAGTCTGGGTGTCATTCTCGACAGCTCACTTTCTTTTCAAGCTCACATTAATAACTTAATTCGGTCAGCATACTTCCATCTACGTTCCATAAACCGTCTCCGTCCCTCACTGACCCCTCACACTGCCGCCATTCTCGTCCACAGCCTCGTCACCTCCCGTATCGACTATTGCAATTCACTTCTTTATGGTCTCCCCAACAAACTCCTTCATAAACTGCAACTGGTCCAGAATTCAGCAGCACGTATTATCACCAGAACCCCTTCATTTCACCACATCACGCCGGTTCTCCAGCAGCTTCACTGGCTCCCAGTTAAATTCAGGTCCATCTTCAAAATTCTCCTTCATACCTTCAAAGCAATCCACAACCTCTCTCCTCCATATATCTCAGACCTTATAAGTATTCACACCCCGTCCCGTTCACTCAGATCTTCTTCTTCCATCCATCTTGCGGTTCCTTCTGCCCGTCTCGCTACCATGGGGAGCAGAGCTTTCAGCCGCTCTGCTCCTCGACTCTGGAACTCACTTCCCCCAGACATCAGGAACGTCGACAGTTTTACCCTTTTCAAAACAAAACTCAAAACACATATGTTAAAATCTGCCTATAACCTCTGATTTTATTCAACTGTTTCTCTCTTTGTTTTTTCTTCTTTGGGTTTTATTATTGTTTTATTGTATTTTATTACGTGTTTTGTGTAAAGTGACCTTGGGTGTCCTGAAAGGCGCTTTTAAATAAAATGTATTATTATTATTATTATTATAAAAGGAGGAACTTTCCAACTGCCAAACCCGACCATTCCTCTGATGCAGAGGATGCTTCTGCCACCTAGAGGTTGGTGTTGACTTGTTTCATTAGCTCTTCTACCTTTTTGCAGGGATTTGGTACAACCTTCTGAGAGGTCTCAGCAAGGTAGCGGTCATTGTTAACGTAAGTCTGATTTACTTTTATCACTTCATATTTATCATGACTGTCTTGTAGTTATTTCTGTGTTTTTGAATTGATTGTTGAAGCAAAACTAGAGCATGGACATCTACAGATGTTCTGGTTGTCTCAACGAAGATACGTTTTCTCATCTGCACAGATGCGTTTGAGTAAAGAGAAATTATTATGTGGATTAATTGGAAACAAACTTGATGGATGGTTCTCTTCTCCAGGCTTTTGTCATTGCCTTCACCTCGGACTTCATCCCTCGGCTAGTCTACCAGTACGCGTACAGCCCTGATAGTACCATGCATGGCTTTGTAAATCACACTCTGTCATATTTCAACGTCAGTGACTTTCAGAAGGGTACTGCTCCCCTCGAGCCAATGCACCTACACTACAAGGTGCAGATCTGCAGGTAAGAGATCCCTTTGAGGGACTTGGGGAAAGAGTGGAGCCATGGAAGCACTTTGGATAAATGAAAGATTTAATTGTGATTTGGAGAGCCTATTGATTTACATTCTTATGTGTCTTTTCAGGTATAAAGACTACAGAGAGCCTCCATGGTCCAGTACTCCTTATGACCTGTCCAAAGAGTTCTGGGCCATTCTCGCTGTGCGCCTTGCCTTTGTTATAGTGTTTCAGGTGTGGAACAACTCACACTCCTCAGACAGGAAGACCACTGACCCAGTAACATTTCATCATGTTGAAATACATTCAATGCTTCATAATGTTTCAGAGCAGGAAGGCTTAAATGGCCTGAAGGTTCTTTGTTTTAAACCATGTATTTACTTGATTACAATTAGGGCTGCACGATATTAGAAAAAACTGCGATATTCGATAACAGTGTTTAATATTGCGATATCGATATTACTCACGATAAATGAACAAATACTAAAGTATGCAGTGTTGATGTCGTCTGGCGTGTGATGTCTGCTCTGGGTTCAAAGCAAACAAAAACTAATGCATGAATTCCATTACAACATAACATTTTATTGCAAAAATATGCAGCTGCACCTGCTACTGTATTAGCAGCAAAACAACAAACTGCATGCATGCAGTTTCTCAGTGACTTTAAAACATCACCTCCACCATAAAACTTTTTCTGATGCTCCAAATACAGAAAAACATCCCTTACCAGGGTTTTTGAATAAATAAAAAAAATCTGAAAATAAGTTTAAATGTTAAATAATAGTTAACATCACTTAAATGCAACAGCAAATTCTCTTATTGCTACTGAACATTTTCTCCACTTATGTGGTTATGATATAAGGCTGGTGCTGCAACTGGGAAGTGATCTGTGCTGGGCCAAACTAGGAGAAAATTAAGATTATCTGAGGGAAAGAGAAAAACGATAGTCTTACCTTTCAGAAGAGGAACTGGCAAAAACTACATGGAAAATATGTGAAAACCTTTGTTTTTAACCCCAAATTGAACAAGTTTACCTAGATCTTAAAAAGCAGCTCAGATGATGAAACTGTAACTATGATTCTGATAACAAGCTAACTAATTGAACTAGCTCCTCTAAGATAACCGGCTAGCAGAGCTTCTGACTGACAGTTTATGTGCAGCAGCAAATCAACTATCCTGATTAACAAGGTTATAAACGCTCATGAATGAAAAATCACTTTGATGTGTGGGGGAACTTTTCCAGGCCCTCTTTAGCAGGGTGGGACTGGGAGGAGAGTGCTGTAGCCTTTTAGCTGGAAGCTAACCGGAGCCTGGGGCTAACGTCACCACCCAGTGGAACACTAGCGACATGAAGGTGGGTTAGTTCACTGGCACGTGTCGGAGTCAGCCCGGTAAAAATGATTAACGACACCGAGTGGGCTCACGTTCACGTTTGAAAGCAGCGCTGATTCCAGAAACCTCAGCACAAAGTGCCTTCGTTGCTCTGAGCCACAATGGCGAACAAGGGAACAGCGCCACTAACTCAGTTCGGGTGTTGCTTTCCATCCTAAGGGTCTACGTAGGGGGCGGGCGTATTATGTAAACGGACCCATCTGATTGGCCGCATATCAGAAGGGCTACATTTGATTGGTCAAATAATACTTCCGTGTAAAAAACAGAGCTGGTTTACAAAAAGTTGATGTATGACACGGATGGAAATGTTTGAAGCAAATATTTATTGCTGTTTTTGCCGTGTTGTGCCATGGGCCTATCGCACGTCCTGTTATCCCGATGACGATAATTTTTCAATATATTGTGCAGCCCTAATTACCATTTTATTGTAAGTTAAAGTATAATAAACTGCATAAGCAGGCTGAAACCAGCTCATTACCATTAGGTGCTGAATTCTCTTTAGGTCTGTTACAAACTCAGGGTAGAAACCAATTTTTGGATTCCTTGTCCAACTCTTTAAAAGGGTAGTGTTTTTTTAAAACAGCTCTAAAGGACCCAGCAAACATGGCAGTTTGAGGGCGCAGTTTGAGGGCTCAAACTGCCATGGGCTGTGTCTCTGCATGTGGGGACAGGGCAAACCCACGCTTACCTCGGAGTTCCCCCACAAGGATATTTTGTATGGTTGCATGAATGGGGCCCATTTATGTTTTCACATGTGGGTTCTTATTAATTTTAGTTAAGGGCAACCCACAGATTCATCTCATGCTGAGCCCTTGTAAGGTGCTCTGGACCATCCCAATGGATGATTGCACATGTGCATTAACGTTGACTATTTCAGTGGACACACCACAGTGGGATCTGCCCAAAAATGACCCACAGTGGCCTCATGAGTATCAGCCCATTTGGGGAATCCAGGGATCCGCCCAGGTAAAATCCCTTGGTGCGATTCATGTGGACACCCACACAGTGGATTCTGCCCAAAAACTACCCACAGTGGCCCCTTAGTGTCAGCCCAACATCTACCCACAGTGTGAGTGTTTTTTGAGTGAGGCAAACTGGGCAGAGTGCTGTATTCTTTGTATAGACTCACACCAACCACCAATGTAGGGTGCCCACAAAAATTACCCGATTTAACTGGGCAGTCTGTTGGATTCCCCATTTTGGCTAACACCCATGGGGAGATTGTGGGTAGTTTTGGGGCACATAACACTATAAAAAATTTGGGCGGATACTACTGTGGGATGCCCACAGAAATCACACTGAGGGATTAAACTGGGCAGACTGCTGTATTCCTCATAACACTGTGAGGTGCCCTCAGAAATCTACATGAAGGTTTAAGCTTGGCAGACTGCTGGATTTCCCGTATTTGCTCTCACCCATGGGGCCACTGTGGGTAGTTTTGGGGTGGATACTACTGTGGGTTGCCCAAAGTAATAAACACTGTTAACACATCATAGTGCATACATCCATTGGGTTGGCAAAGAGCCCCTTACAAGAGTTCAGCATGGGCAGATGTGTCTGTGGGTTGCCCAAAGGGGCTCACATGGGAAAATACAGATCCTTGTGTGTACACATGCAATTTCCCCATTGAGGGACAAATAAAGGTGTTCTTATCTTTTCTTAGCTCTGGGGTAAGTGTGGGTTTTCCCTGCTTATTCTACCCCACACACAGCCCACTGTGGGTCCTAACAAGCATGTTTGCTGGGTGTCTTTGCAGTTCATTTTAATTCAGTGTAAATTCTTGTCCCTTGGACGATAATATAAAGATCCAAAAATGATTGCAGGTTTTTTAATTTAACATACATGACACAAGTTCTCTAAATAAGGTATTAGAGTTAGTATAATGATTGTAATGACAAGGCAGCAGTAACTCAGGAGGTTGAGAGGGATGTTGGTCTGATCCCAGGTCGGTCTAGCCTAACTTCCCATGTTGGACGCAAAGGGCAGCATTGGACAATTAGATTATCCTCACCAGCAGTGTGTGAGCACATGGATAAAGGAAAGCGCTTTGGGTATCTTGGAAAGCTCCATCTAAATCTAATCATAATTATTTTTATTTTCATCAAATGGTAAATGGTGGGCAACCCACACATACTGTGTACTGCTGAGAAATGCAAAGCACATAAGGATAGGGCATAAGGCCACATTGGTGCCAGCAGGAAGCCCCAATGTGCAGGCCAGGGTTCTGGGATGAAATGTGGAGCACATGAGGGCCCCACAACAATGTGCCAAAGTGGGGCCACAGCGGGAAACACATGCGTGCCGGCCAAGATACCGCTGTGAAATGTGGGGCTCATGAGGGCCCTATAGTGATGGCCCACATTTGCTGGCCAAGCCCTTTTGGGCTTGTTCCAAATGATAGGGCCCTCATATGCCCCATATTTCACGGCAGCACCCTGGTCTGCATATGTGGGCGTCCCGCTATGGTACCACTGTGGCCTATTGATGTGGGGCCCTCATGCGCCCTGTATTTCTCAGTGGAACCCTGACATGTGTGGGTTTCCCACCATTTACCATTTGATAAACATACAAAAAAAATTGTAACCCATCCCTGGGCTGCCACCTTACCATGGTGGAGGGGTTTGAGTGTCCCAGTGATCCTAGGAGCTAAGTTGTCTGAGGCTTTATGCCTCTGGTAGGGTCACCCATGGCAAACAAGTCCTAGGTGAGGGATCAGACAAAGTGCAGCCCATCGACCCTCCTAATACATATATATATATATATATATATATATATATATATATATATATATGCATGGTGGTGCAGTTGTTAGCACTGTTGCCTCGCAGCACGAAGGTTGCAGGTTCGAAACTTGGCTGCGGCCTTTCTGCGTGGAGTTGCGTGTTCTCCCCATGCATGCGTGGGTTTCCTCTGGTTACTCCAGTTTCCCCCACAGATCACAACATGCCCTATAGGATATAAATTGTAAGTTGCTTTGGATAAAAGCGTCTGCCAAATAAATAAACATACACATATATAAGAATTGGTCCAAGCACTGAACCCCGTGGTACTCCACAAGTAACCCTGGAGTATGACGAAGATTTGTCATGTACATTTACAGAATGAAATCTATCAGACAGGTAGGATTTAAACCAGCCTAGTGCTGTTCCTTTGATCCCTACAACATGTTCAAGTCTTTCTAAAAGAACATTGTGATCAACTGTGTCAAAGGCAGCACTGAGATCTAACAAGACTAGAACAGACACAATATTCTTATCTGAGGCCATGAGAATACCATTTATAACTTTCACTAATGCAGTTTCAGGGCAGTGATACTCTCTGTAACCAGACTGAAATTCCTCAAACAGATCATTAGTGTTTAAATGCTCACATACTTGGATGGCTACTATTTTCTCAAGGACTTAGGTTAAAAATGGAAGGTTAGATATTGGTCTATAATTCATTGGGTCATCTGGATCCAGAGGAAGTTTCTTAAGTAACGGTACAGCAACCTTAAAATCTTGTGGTACGTATCCATTTACAAAGGATATATTGATTATATCTAGAATGGGGCAGTAACCAAAGGAAATGCATCTTTAAAATATTTGGTTGGGATTGGATCTAAAATGCAAGTTGAAGGTTGAAGTTGAAGCTAATATTTTTGATAACTCTGAAAGCTCAATTGGATCAAAACAGTACACAGATGAGGTTCTACAGTTACCTCTGATGCTGCCTCACTTACTGAGGAAGAAGAAATCGCATTAGGGAGGATGCTAATGATTTCAAGTGGTGCTCGCTGCAGAACCACAAAGACGGAGCTGCACCAGAAGGCGGAGCTGCACCAGAGTCAGCCCCGCCCATTC